AAGGCGTTGGAGAAACTCTTGCCTACTTGGAATGGAAGGGCGTTGAGTACCTGAAGAAGGTGGAATATCTAAGCAGGTAACCTGACCTAAACCCCCTCAATTACCTGGTTCGGGCGGAGTTCAATAGGGTGGTCTACAGTGGCGGAGAAATCAACGATCTCGCTGAACTCACGCACCCACTGACGGTCGCGTGGCAGAATCTCTCGATGGCGCTCCTCCAGAAGGCTGTGGCGGAGTATCATGATAGTATTTGATATGCTCTTTAATATGGTGGTAGAAATGTCCGATAATAATTTAATAAAGTGTAACTTATAGCGCCTCGAAAGTCGAGGAAGAAAAAAGTCTTTTTTTTGCCCCCCCTGTACTCATGTCGTTGCAGAGAGTGGGCCTGGCTGCATGATTCTTTTAACATAGCATAGGCGTTTTTCGTGGAATAGATACATTTTGAACGTGTGCCATTTTGTCTCGTGTTGGCAAAAAACATGGTTGCAGTTGTCCCAGAATGGCAGTGTCCTCCCAAAAGGCACTCGCCGTCCTATTCAAATGAATTGGAGCGCGTTCATACTTCGCCATTCGATCGCGCGATCCGTGCGATTAAGTCCCAAACTTGAACGCGCTCTTAAGCAGCTGCGTCCTTCCATCTCCGGTATATGAAGTTCATCTAAAGAAATAGATGCTCGTTCCCACAATGGATCTTATTTTCAGAAACGGACGCCAATTCGATATGCTCCTGTTTTGCTGCATTAGGCCACCGTATTGAAGGCATTGAAGATGTCGAGGGTCGACGTAGAGAGTCTCGATTCCTTTTCATTCAAGTCCGCGCTTGGATAGCTGAGAGTACTGAAAAAGCGGAAGATATAGAGGTATTGCACCTGGCTATTCTATTCGTTTTAGTGGGAACATGATGATGTTTCAGTGTGCTATTTGTCAACTGTTTCGAGATCGCGATCTATTTGTACACGCAAACGCTGTTAGAGAATGGCCTGCGATAGATCTTCTTCGCGCCCTTCTCGAAAAATCTTCTACTAAATTGAGGCAAGCTCGGACTAAAACACTTTATTTCACTTGCTTCCGGTGAACAGTCGTAGGTAGAACATGAGGGAGTGAACGTTGGCTTTGGTCATTGGTATCACTACTGCTAAAGCCTCACCCACACTTTGCGAATATGGGGGAGTCCACGGATCGGGAAAGTCATCAACAGTGGATCAGATTGGAATCGATTGACTTCGTGCACTATCTTTTCGAATACGGTAGTGTCTGGGGTCAATCGGTCCTCATTTATTCTCAGTCGCTCATTCTCCTGAACCCGCCCACAGTCCAAGTTGATAAGTATGCTTTCCTTTCACCACATTCATTCAAATGGTCTACTCTTCGCCATCGCGAATTCCCCATATTCGCAAATCGTGAACGCGGGATGAGGCTGTGTTCTTGTTTTGCGTCAGCTCACGCCAGCGCTTAAGCTTTTCGAGACTATGCCAGTGCCAGCGACTGGAACAGTATAGGTATCGATCCAGTGTGCCAGCGTCCACCAGGAGTGGAGAGAATGGATAAGTAGGAGGGTAGCAGACGGCTGGATCAGGTGCCGTTAAATTGGGGCGTGCGCGACCGCACTGTACTACTACACAGTACATGGAGATTGCATAGTTCTTTGCTTCAGCAGGTGTATGGTGCGGTTGCACTCGACGTTTAATCCGTCGTCTGTTATTCTCTTACTCCCCCTCTCAACCCCTGGTGACGCTAGCGTACGTTAGACCGATACCTATATTTCACTAGTCGCTGACGCTGGCGCAAAGTATGAACGCTGACCAAGGCAGAAACTACAATTACTTCTCTTGCAGCAAATTCGTCGAGCTCATTCCTGGAACGATATGTGGCGGTCGCGAGCCGGACACCATTGTCCTGGAGCGTTTGAAAGAGATCTGCGGCCTTATTAAAGAGCGAATCAATCGCTTTGATGTGCACTCCCTACTCAAAACGTGGTCCAACCTGGCAGAAATATTGACTGTTTTTGTAAAGAAGGTGAGTAGAAAGCCTAGAACTTCTTGCTTTCGGAGAAGGTTTTAGACTAAGCCTGATGAGGTAGAAGAACGATTATGAGTTACTGAAGTGTGGGTCTATTCCAGACTGACGACATTAACGAGGGTAATCTGCTGAAACCGGATTTCTCAACCACATTCAGTCTTCTTAAGTTACTTTTCACGATTGCGAATCATGCAAATGAGGTAGGTTAGGGACCAGTTTTGAATTTTGCTATCTTAAATAGTTCCTCTTTCATCGTTGTTGATCCAGGATCCGAATGCGGACACTTTGGCGGAATGCTCATCTGCGTTCAGTAGGCTTTTTGCTGAAGTGCAGACCACTGTAAGACACGAGGTTGATTGTAATGCTGAAACAGTTCTATGTGATGTTTTTGGGTCCACCACACAGCTCGAAACGGTGTGTTCTGAACAAGGAAGCGTTTGTGAAGTTCAACGAGGTAAAGCAAGACCAAACGTAGATGCGCTGATTCCATTTTATTTCCAGGAATGTTGCACGCATCTCTTCACCCATGCACTACTAGCTGTAGTCGATATCTATCCGTTCGAATCTCTAACGAAAAAAGAAGTGTTCTCCGGTGAGTGTAGGAAAAGCGTCATCACAGTTTCCTGGATATAAGGAAATACTTTCCAGGATCCACAGGGGAATTTTACACACTTGGTGAAATAGCTACATTTGTGAATGCGATACAATTGCTCGGTCGAAAAGTCATAAACACAGTAAATTCAGATAAGGTATATTCTCAGAAGTTTCATTATGAAGTGCTTCAGCCTTTAGCAATGTTTGTTAAAAAAAACTGAAAACTCGTGGATCTTGATCCTTACCACCTGCGAAGTGAATGAGTCGGCAGTTGCAGTAGCAAAGTGCAGGTGCCACTTTCTTCGCTCAAAATGCTCGGGAACGGGGCTGGAGAGTAGCGTTATTCTGATGTCGTGCATTCACCCAGTCACACGACCAGTCACACATTTAAGGTTGCATTTGAACTTCCTAATCACGCGCGCCGACGCGCTATTACGCTTGTCGTAGCGCGTACTCACACCACCGTCACAGTAGCGCTCTAGTGCTGTACAAAGAACGCAGCAGTAGACGGGTATCATACGGCGGCGGCCGCTGGTGTTCTGGGAAATGCAGGAGAACAGGGAGTAGCTATACGCTTCCAAAACACTAGCGGCCGGCGTCGATCGATACCTTGCTATAGAAGCATCCCCATTTACGGAACTGGAAAGAGGACCAATGTCATTGTAAAATTTGGAAGCAACCCTACTATAGCCAAATACGCTACTCATCCGCGCCCTCAAACTTCTGGTGGCTCTCTGCCTTTGACTGCGTGTTCGTTGCTTTTGGTACTGACGCAAGTGCTGCACATTGATGATAGCGCGGGCGGAGTCGGTACACGGCATCCGGATATCATTACCTTTTACCCCAAAAGACCGTCCTCGTAAGTGAGTATAGAATTTGGCTTCGAAACACTGCTGCTCGGCGATGTGGCCCTACTTTCACTTGCAGTAGTTACGGTGAACCTTCTACCTGCCCATTATTTCAGGCTCAGAAACTTCCCCGTTCCACGTCTAAAGACTTCCTCACACTCCTTGTTATTTGTCAGAAGTTGTTTGCTGCGGATAGAAGAACCATCTCTGGTGAGAATAGTGATGGGTCTTTGATAGCGGCTATATATGGAAGAATTGTTTTTGCATGTTTACAGATTAGGACCTTGTTTTTGGCAGTATGTGATTTGCTAGACCACATGCTTGCCAAGATCTATAGTGATGATTCTCGCCTGAAAGAAGTCATACAGGAATCATTGGCTGCTTTCACATCAGTACGTTTTGTTTCAGATCCCCGCAAAAGAATCCAGTATTGAACTTAATATTCCTGTTCAGATTGTGGAAAGCGTACAGAGCAAAATTCCGGGTCCTTTCGACGACAGTTTTCTATCTGAATGTGCTCCGCTGTTCACAAGGTTACTAACCGTTCGCCGTGGCAGATCGTCGAAACTGCGTACAGCTGCCTGTGACTTGTGGAGGAACACCTTTGCCAAAGCTCACTCGCTTACTTATCCGATGGAATTGAGGCATGATTCTTTTTATTTTTTTCATGTTCTTCTCTGTAAACGGTTGTTCTAACCGCCGGATTCAGAAAGGTTCTACTGCCTCTCGTCAAAAAACGACTTATCAGCGTGCCAGGGTTTTCAAAAAGCGATGACGTCAGCGGAGACGTTCTTTCTAGTGGCGAAGACACGTCATTTACTGTGGTAGGAATTTGAACAAGTTGATTCATCTGCCTCTTACCTTACCAACTGAAGTGATCTTGTTGTTATATTTGACTGCATAAGTTATGTTGCAGTCTCCTTAAACACATCACTGTCATCTTCACGTCCTCGAAGATCAAGAAAACCTGTGAAATTGGATGTAGGAGACTCAGAAATGGGGAACTCCTTCCACGCTTCTCCTCATGTAGCTGCAACAACCTCTTCGCAGACTGGAAAGAGGCGGTAAGTTCATCCTCTAGGCACCAGCCAAGATTTCCTGGTGCGAGGAACCAGAAAGCAAGTCACTGGCAATCCATTGCCTTTCCGCCCTCTACCGCGATGAAGAAGGCAAGAAGAAGACGTGTACGTTAATGTGTTCTTGCGGGCTCCACCCATCCAGCGAATCTGGACAGTATCGTGAACGATTCTGAGTATTCCTCTCATTTTCAACTTTCGCCTTGCTTCAGAATTGTTTTGTCGAAATGCTTAGTAGCACAAAGTGTCTCTGTTTGCAGGTATAAAGCAAAATCTAATGTTAACGAATGAGACAGACACCACTCAGACACCCCCACTGCTAAAGTGGCGAAGAAGGAACCACCTGCAGTCGAAGAAAGTGGAGCAAAGTCTAAGAGAGCTGATAGCAAGGGAATGGCCACTATTCCCATTAAGGTAGACTTCCACTTTTTGTCCATGAGGTATAGCTGAAAGTCCAAACTTAGACTCCGAAAGTAGAAGAAATCACACCATCCCGTCAAGCCGCGACACCGCGAACGAAACGAAGGATGTATGTCGGTCTTCTTGATGAAGACTCCGTTGACTATGTGCCCATCGTATCCAGTGAATCAGCGAAAAAGATGAAGCTCACTGACCGACAACGAGAGATGTTCAGTGAAAAGAGGTCTGTTGCGTACTCATTCGTGTTAAGTTAACAGCTGAGCTTTTATCACTCCTCCCACTATTTTTGTTTTGCTTTGAGTTAATTCAGCAGTGCAAATACCTTTACAGTCATCGTCGGGAAGGGGAGCTCTGAGAACGTTAGATGTTAAAAAAATGGAAATTATTAATGAGTTTCTTCTTTCGATGGAACTGCTACGTTTGATAGCCTCTTTTCATGCAAAATCCTCCAAAACTACTTAACGGGTTCGTACTTGGCCGCGGGGGACATGGGGAGTATCGCAAAAGTAGGCTCGCTAGGCATCAAACCGTACAAAAGTGTCATTGCTAAGTTTGATGGAAGGAACGGAAAGCTGCAGAAGACCCGGATGTAAATAGGACTACAAAATAATAAAAATTTATTAGCAATATAGCAAGAATATCAAGAATAAATAAATAAATAAATAAATAAATAAATAAATAAATAGATATCAGTTAATAGCATGAACTCGTAAGTACGTAGATGACTAAATAATACGTCTCAAACAGACGTGCGTATTGTCCTTCCAAACCCTAAACAAACATCTGCTTGCATGGATAAAAGCACCTCAAATTAGAATTTACACCTTTTCCATCACCTCTGCGTAGGAGAGTAATGCACGGCGCACACTCGGACCAAATCGATCATGATAGCTGAGCTCCTCTTTCACTCATTATAAGCGGAAATATGTGTTTTAGAGTTTGAAGTGTATATGCATCCGGAGTCGATTTTTCGGGTGGGTCAGAGGGTGCGCGTCTGTGACCCATCTAAAATATCTCCTGAACTAGTGGGTCTTCAGAAAAACTGTAAAGCTTATTGGAAAGAGAAAAGATAGGGCATTTTCAAGAGTATTTCGATCTTGTTGAAATTGCGATCGAACTGAGATTAGTCCTCGTGTTTTGAAGCACAAAACCAAGCTTGTCATTTTTACCCCTAGCCTATCCAAACCCATCCGGAATATTTCACCAACGGGGATTGTTCAATTTGCAACTGGGTAGAATACACAACAGTAGAAACTTTGCCGCATCATGTTGCTCACCATTCCTCAAGAGCTCCGCACCTGAAAGAGATATAAGCTCTTGAAAAAACCGCAGGACGCTGACTTTTCGAGTTACCGCGCTCCAATGACGTTTTTCTCTGCAGCGAAAGCGCGTTGCGATCGATAATAGCCAAGTATAGAACGATTTACTGCCGCCTGGTTATCCTTTTTCTCATTTGGCTCCGCATTTTTTTTTTATTTTTCATGTTTCGCTTTGTTGTGTCGTTCATGTTTTTATGATTTCCCCGTCACCATTCATTGAATGCACATCTGGGGCCTGACACCTGACGCCTTGGGGCTAATTTTTTTCACCAGTACAGCTCATTAATGATCACGAATAGTCGCTGTTTCAATTGTATTCCTTCTTACAAGTTGCATGTCATACATGGTTATCGAACGAGGAGTTTTATTTTGAATCCTAAGACAAAATTGTAGGTAATGCGAGGCTGTTGTTCAGCCTCATATTGCATGAGGCCTGAACAACAGCCTCTTATTGCCTGGTTTTAAGAGCAGATTCGCGGGTAACTCACACTGCCATTTCGCACATCCCCATGCTGTACCCTGGGGGCAACCCCCCCCCCCCCAACAAATGTTCCCGGTGCCTTAATGTCAAGCTTGAAGGAATGATCTGATACTTTCATATCGTTTGGAGTTATTCGAACTTGTTGCGAGCTCCTGAAAGGGAAGACAAAATGAAATGGTTCTTTCATGTGATTCGTGTCTAGAATGTTCTAGGATAGAAGGGCTGCATTCCAGATTGGCGTGCTTGAATGAGAAATCTATAGCGATGTGTGTGGCCTCCATGAGACAAACGCTTTCGCGCTAACGTTTTAACGAGTAGCTCCACGGAAGCATTGATAATTCTAAGTGTTATCACAACTGCGGGTTCCAGTCCCACCTGGGATCAAGACTGTTGCGCATAACTCAGCATTCTTGTGTGATAACTTTCGGAAAGTGAACCGCTGCGGTAAATGGAAGTTATCGAAATAAAACAAAATTCTACGTGTGATAAAAGCAAAAGCTTATTCCTTGCCTCACTGAAAGGAAGCAAAAATAGGATGCTCAGCGCGGTTGAGAGAGAATTGCAATATTCGGATCCAAGTGTCGTAGTGCTCGCCACACCAGAGGGAATTTCAGCTCCAAACTACTACAGCAACCAGATCTCTCCAACAGAAAGTGGCGTACGCAGTTTTCAACTTAGAGCTACTTCGCACGAAACTTTCACGTTGTTTGCCCGCTCTTCTTTTTGTTGTTTACTGATTTGTAGACAGTATATGAGAAGATTTAGTGCTGTGTTTTTAAGCGGCTACTTCCAGAGAACGAATGCCATTTTTGGACGAAGACTCGCAAAATTCTGCCGTAATTGCCCATCTACCATCGGAATTCGACGTCGAGTCGTCGCAATCTGTGTAGGGCTTTTCTCATTTATGACGAAGACATAAAGAGCTATCTTTTTGAGTTAGCATAAGACCAACACCTCAACGTTACGGCGTTGCGAGGCGCTGGCTTTTGCTCACAACCTGCGACTCACAACATTATGATTGTTGTGGAAACTGTGTAATGCACCGTGATGTGATTGATGTCGTTAACGATTCAGCTCCAGTCAACCCACAAAGCCCGCGGATTCGACGTCTTGCGCTGTGCTGGGAGATGAACGAATTGAAGGGGAACGAAAAGACCCGCTCATTCAAGTAGAACCGACACTGGTGTCTCCTATCGCAGAAATTAAAGAGGAGCAAGTTGCTGGAGCCAACTCTGCTATTTTAAGGAGGAAACCAAAATTGAAGCTGGATTTCGATCAGGTGACTGACGATTTTGTTTTGAAACATCGCTGAGTGAACCAAGGTACATATGCTGTCGGACCATGTCATCAGTTTTATGATGATGGATACAGCAATTGGTCGGCCTAGCACGGTTTGGTAGTAAATTATAAATGCACTGTGTAACGCGATAATCACAAAACCAATAGAGCAAACCATTCTAAACAGTCCGAAAAAAATCAGAAAGTGGAAGGAACTTAAGAAAATTTGGGAGGACGGTAGGTAGGATGTGGGGTGACGAAGGGGGAGGGTGATTGTTACAGGGGAGGAAATTTCGAGAAAAAAGTTTTATTTTGTAGAAACTATACCCCCCCCCCCTCCCTCGAGAACAGGCAGGTTTCTGTCTACTGTGCAGCTGGGGAGATAAAATGATGCGATTTTCTTGTAGTGTCAGTACAGTGTCCCTATATAGAAACTCAGCCGTTTTTTTAGCAGTTTCAATTCAAAATGAATGCTTGTTTTATTACAGGTAGGAAGCCGAAGAGGGAGGGCCTGCTGCGTGGTTCAGAATCCAAATTGGCATCGCAACATGAGAAGTCCAGTCCAATAGAAGAGGTGTGTTACGAGTTTCTCATATGCAATGTTTTATGAGGTTCATTTTACTTGGTTTAAGGTGAAGGAGCTATCAGACATACAAGCTGGAAACAGCTCCGCAGATGAGGTGTCGAGTAGTGAAGAATCGACTGCACCTTCTATTGAGAATGTGATGGACGAGAGCGTGGAGATCAGGGAGTCGCTGGGCTCCCGTCGTTCAAGAAAAAAGGTGAGAACTCAGTCACTGAAAAAGGAAAATAGATATCCATTCCCCATTTTATTATGGCGCCTCCAGTTGTTGCTATATTGGTTTGACAACTATGATTCTCCTTTATTTACTAGGGTACACGACGCAAATCTTAGGTCAGAAGGAAACGCAGGAAACCAAACAAGAGCCACTGCAAAAAGGGACAGAAAGCGCTTCTCCTCCCAACCATCGAAAAGAGAGCCGGCCGCTCCTTGGCAAGGCGTCCATCAGGTAGTACTTACGTTGTTGCCCATCATAAGGTCTTCTCGAACCCTGGACCTTTTTTGTTAGGGACTGCTTGAAGGTTGTGGTGATTCACAGACAGTACCACCGCCCACTCAAGGATCGAATGTTCAGCGACCTGAAGATTGTGTGGAATCACAGGCGGTACCACCGTCCACCCAAGAAGCATCTGCTCAGCTACCTGAAGATTTTGCGGTGCAACCGCCTGCTCAAGAAGCGACTGTTCCGCAGAGTGATGAAGCATTGGTGTTGCGAGAGATAGACGAGGTTCTAAATGTGAAGGAGCTGGCCGACCCAAGTCTAGACGAAAGCTTAGAGGAAAAAGACGAAGATGACGGTGTCAAGAAAACACCTGAGAAACAAAATATGGGAGCAGAGTATGTCTGACATACTCGGATTGGATGGCTGTCGTGCTCTAAGTAAAAGACAGTGTTTCAGGAAAATAGCCTCCACACCTACGCCAGCATTTGTTCAAAGAATTGCTAGTACACCTGGTATACTGAAAAAGGTTGACAGTCCCTCCACTGCTGAGAAAAAGGTGAGCAATAGGAGTGAACAGTAACTGTTTGTACAGCACTTGCTCAAATCAGCTCCATTTCATTTCAATCAGATCGATATTTTTTTGATCATTATCATGCATACTAGCTCTTCATTGCTTTCAGCTTCGACGAGTTCATTTTGGAGGTGATACAGAAAATAAGGAACGTGATGCCATCACTGATGATGCAGTCAAAGCGATCGCGAGTGATGATCTGATCCCTGTATCTCCGAAGGGAATCGTGAAACGAGCCACACCGAGACGACCATTTTTCCATCTCCAGACGACCGCTGAACAGGTATGGATGGAGTTTAGTTGAAGTGGAAAATTGTCACCAGAGAAGTTGAATCTGGTAAGTCATTACTCATATGGGGCAGACGGAGGATGCCACCGCAATCGCTGATGTCTGAGACAGCGTTCATACTTCGCGACAGCAGCGGCGATCGCGGCGACCTCGACGTGGCAGAGCGCGCCCCAACGCTATTATGGACTGCTTGATAAATAAGGGAATCCAACTTGTGAGACCTTCTTTTCTCTTAATAATGGCTACTAACTGATAACTTACGACTTTCTATACATAAGCGGATCTGGAATATGAGGTAAGGAGGTTTCACTTCTTTTTAGGTCGGGATAAGGCCAACTCCATTGTTTTTATTGTTTCAATTTATGCAAGCGCCTTAAAAGTTCCTATCGTCTGAACTGTTCCAACTTCCAAAACATTTATAGTTTACAAGTCGAGTTCAAACAACGAAGAAAAAAAGAAACAGAAAGAAACTCACCTAGGAACCAAAACACTAATCATTTTACGCAACATCAACAGGTGAAAACTTTATAACCTCATGTATAAGCTCGACGAATGAAAAAAGAAACAATAAAAACCTACCCTAAATGAAGCTCTCACGCTTTTTGCTCATTTCTATCCTGAATCAAGAAAGAAATAGAAAACAAAAGCCATTAAGTTGAGTTCACCTTTTTTGTGTCAAACCAAGCTTCAGTATCTAAGAAAATTGCAGTTAGAAATTGAGTCACTTCTTCCCGTAGCCTTCGGAGCGCAGTAATAGGCGCGGGGACGCGCGCTCTGCATGTACGACGATCCGCCGCTGGCTGTTCGCGAATATGAACGCTGCTTGAGACACCGTATATGAAGTAGGGTTGAAGGGACTGCGTAACGACTACTGACTGGTGCACTTGGCGCGTAATCTTTTATGGAATGCAACTCTCAGAAATGACTAAAATGAGGCGCCCGCAGAAATGCTTTGATATGGAGTGAGAGGAGAGAGTAATAAATTGCGCTCAGCGCGCTGGAAAATGTGAGAGTCCAGGCCGCACCTGGTTAATGGCTTTTACTTAGATGTTCCATTAAAAGAGTTCCTGCACAAAAGTATGGTGTTGAGATGTAATTGTGAATTTTGAGGTAACAAAGGTTGCCGCATTGCCCAACGAAAGCGTTGCTGCTTCTCCGGTAAAAAGCGAGGCAGATGCCGCCACATGTGCTGATGACGAGCCTATCTTCCCGCGTTTAGCTGACTGTCAGGAGTCGATAGGAAGAATAGTCGGGAGATTGCTGCCCATATCTTCTACTAACGGGTCAGTTTCTACATGGATAATTCTGAGATTCTGCGACATAGCTGATGTGTTTATAAGCAAGCTGGAAACTAAAAAGTTCTATCAGTGCAATCTGATGTTTCAAGAACATTTCTATTTCAGTGCAATAGCTGCACGTAAATCATTGGAAGCACAAGGCATCGTCAGAATATGCGATCTGGCGTCCAAATCTCGACGTGAAGTTTCACTACTGAACATTAAGAAGCCACGAATCGAAACAGCATTCCGAACACTCTCACAGTTCGCTCGTGACCACTTGAAGTCTGAAACCTCACCGGTAACTGGCCGAGTAGGTTTCCACGACCTTTGAACCTTATTGTGCATACTTGTATAAGAGTTAAGAGTTTGGGTACCTAAAGTCGGGCAGATAAGTCCGCCGTTAGATAAGTTCGCGCGACGTCGCGATCGCCACGCGCGTGAACACTATACGGGACCCTGGAAGTTGATATATGTTTTTTTTCGGAAAAGTTCGCTAGAAACGGCATTTTTAGAAGATGTCACCCTTAGAAAAAAACAGTAAACTTTATTTGATCGGGGAACTGAGGCA